AGATGTTATTGTTGCTTGTTTCATTATACCTTAGCAACCTAAAAGTTAGGGATGCAATCCTAGAGACACATTATATGTAATCCAAGTTACAAATATTGTATATATTATTGCAGAACTCTTAGGGTCTGCTGAAATAGAAGTTGCATTTGACCACAACAGCAAACATGATGACAGATAACTCAATTTCTGATAGTTTGAGAAATTTTGAACATTTGTTTTTTGATATTACAGTATGGCTCTTTAAGTCAAGTCGTTGATGGTTTGAGCAATTTAATTATTTCCTTTCATATAAATTTTTATCTAAAAGATTCTCTTCCAATCTCTTGGTAATTTTTTACTTTCCATTTATTTTCTTTTAATACGCTTGTTAATGAAGTTATCTCTTGATCTTCGAAGGCCTTCCCTTATGAAGAATGCCATCAAATCATTTTCTATTATGATCATCTGTGCTAACTAGTTCATATATGGATTAGAAAATTGAACAAAAGGTGCACAAAAAATGGTATTGTCATACAAGGTCTGATTTGTGTGATTTAACAGGAAGTAAAGCCATGTTCTTAGACATACTTATTTCCATTTCTACAATTGTCATTTTCAAATTCCTACTAGGTTTTTCGGGTTTTATCTTATTTAAAAGAAAGATTTAGTTTTTATTCTCTCTTGTAAGGAGAATATCCGTACAAATGTTTTTAACACCGCCGATGTCGGTCCCAAGCCCGAATGAAAAAGGTGGAGGGTTGTGGAAGGCCGCTAAAAGCCAGCTTGAAAAACATTTGAGAACTCATATGCATGATCTTAACTGTTTCGTAATAAACCTAAGTCATCATTGAGATTAGATGTGAGACAAGATTGTCTGGAAGAAAACTATGATATTATCAGTTGGGATTAATCATTTGCTCACGAGACATGAGACATCTGGTCTAAGGGTAAACCCTATGTATCTGAGAGGAAAATTAGAAATCTTGTCGTTCAGTATATTGGCAGATTTGCGATAATTTGAATTTTCAAGACCCAACATCACTATCTATTTTTCGACCAGATACTCTAAAATCATACAGTACTTTCAGATTTACCAATTATTGTTCTTTGATCTCACAAAACACATAGAATCATCCTCTTATTTCAGGTTGATCATGTTACTAGAGGATCTGCACGGCCCAAACTTATCTGACCTTGCCTAATCTTAGTATTGTGCAAAACATGTCAAGCTCAAGAAGAAACAGCAGAAAGATCAGTTCTTCATGGCAAACCATTAATCCTTATTTTGTTAGATGAGTAGCTTCTCTTTTGAATGTAGATAACTTTCTTGAACTCCTTGAATTACTGGTCAAATTCCTGCTACAGGTATTAATTAGATATTTGGACTTCTTTTGACACTATAGATCATTACAGTGTCTGTAACTGTAAATAAATTTTCTCTCAATATGTCACTCAAACTTCTTAGCTATTTTGTTTCTTTTTTTGGCTGTAATCTTTACATGTTTCCATAGTATCTTTTTATGTATTTCAATGTCATTTGTGCAAATATGTTTTTTGTTTACAAATTAATTAATGTGACAAAAAATTGTAGCTTAAGGAGATGGGTTGAAATGGTAGCCTAACCAGAGGCGAAGAAGCTGCTGATGCTAGCAAGGTATCTGATCAATCAGCTGAAAGGAAAAAAAGTTTGGTGGACTGGATGAACTTGATTAAACCTGCTAATGGGGAGAAAGATCACTGGGTAAGTTTAGATGCTTTTTCTTTGGTTATTAAAGAATTTTTTCAACTTGATATTTGTTGGTGTGAAAAAATGATTATTCTAGAGATACTTTCATTTGTTTTTGTGACTTAAAACCATGGTCTGCCGTACCGAAGCGTACCGCCCCGTACCGGGCGGTACGTACCGGTACGTACCGCCCGGTCCGATAGGTTCTCGGTACGTGGACCGCCCTGTCACGGACAACAGGGTGTTTGATGTAATGCTTATGTATGTCCGTGTCTTTTGGCATGTTCATGCCTTGTACAGCATGTAAAGGGGCGGCCGAAGGCTTAATAGTCCCATTTTAGTTGGGTTGGTGGCCTCTTTAGGCTTGTAAATAAAGGTTGTGTCATGTTGACACGTGCGAGAGATTTTCGGTCTGTAATGGACCATTTTACCCTTTGTTGTGCCACTGTTCAGAGCTTGTAAAAGTCTGTTTGTAATTTGCATTGTTTATGAAGTGTTTTTCGGAGATGTTTGCTTGTGGATCCCGATGGAGACTTTCTCTCTAACCTGTTCTCTCTTTTGGTGGCCCTAAGGGACAATGGGAGGCTTCGGGGAGGCTGACCTTTGCGGACGGACACGCAAGGGTGCCGCACGACTTAGGCAAAACCAGCTAAGTCCGTGACAGATGGTATCAGAGCGGGACAAGCACTCATAGAAACACTTAGCATGTAAACGTGGGGGACCTAGCGGGGCTGCGTTGAGGGCAGTCAGCACACGCGCGACCGTTTGGGGGAAAACGGGTATGGAGATGTAGGGAAAAGGAGTCGCTCAGAGGAGCGGGCATCTGAGATTGGCATTCAGAGGAATGGCCAACCCTTCGCGCAAGAGGCACCACGAGAATAGGCAAGCTTGGAAGAATGTGGAGCGCACAAAGGTTGGGATGGCTGAGTTTGAGCTACGGCTCAACGTTGACAACTATACTTGATGGTGCTCAAGGCAAGCGAGGCGTTTGGTAAAGGATGAGACCATCCAAGGTGGAATGAGTTGCTCAACGACTAAAAGAGTTATGCAAAGCTCATAGAGGTGAGGGGAATTGCTAACTCGAAGAATTTGGTACTAATGCATGGGCTTGTATGCGGACGATGGAATGTTCGCGGCCATCCCAAGGCGACCGAAACTCGGCGCCATGGAGCATTGAAACTTTCTCTTCGGCATGTGAAGGATACGTCCGTAGGAGGCTAAAGTGTGCAACGAGTTCAGCATGTTGCTAGGCCTTGAGGGGTGCAGCGGGGACTGTATTGACGGGGAGTCGCAATCTAGCAAGTGCGTTTGCAGGAGGCAGAACAATGCACAATTTGTTCAGCAGGTCGAAGTAGTCCAAGGGGATGGTGGTCTCCGAAATGAAGAGATGTGTTGCTCCAACGGGATAGTTATCCAGGAGGGATAAGTCCCGGCTCTCCAGAGGGAGAATCATGTGAGACGGACCTCACATGTTGAGGAGGAGTACCTCAACAAACAACAACTCCACGAAGCTCGATGGACTGAGCAAGCGGCGAAGAGTCATCGCATGATCTCACTTGAGAGAATGCATTGGTGGATGCATTGCGAGATCAAGTGGGGGAGCGACCCAAAGCAACTTAAATGAGGGCACACTTGGAGTCGATGTGGAGATCGGACTCAAGGGAGGGCTGACCCGTGGAATGGTGGGCGCGAGGGCCACCATCAACTCAATGTGAAAACGAGGAGCGGAGCAACTTGGGTGTAACTTGGCGAAGTACTCAAGCCGCATGAAGGGAGCCAACATAGAAGTTGGAACGTGGAGCAGAGGCACAGTGCTTTCCTTAGACAGAGGTCAAGGACATGAACTCTTGCAGAGGCAAGAGTAGGATCATGTTGTTCCATGGGTCCTTCATTCTGACGGAGCGGACTCATCTTGCATGGTGCCAAAGACGAAGGGAGCTTCGGGGCACATGCACCTTATCTCGGAGAAGCATTTGATGGAGGAACTAAGGTGACTCAATTTGCGGAGGTGAAGTTGGGTACAGAAGGCCTTAGCACGGGGCAAGAGGACGCAGAGGCGGGTACTCTTGAAGAAAATGCCAGAGTGTTGCCATTCGAGTTGCTATGAAGGAAGCGGTGCGCAGCGGAGATTGTGCTGGTAGGGGCAGAGGCCCAGGATCCAGATAATAGTGCACAAATTACAGTGCAGTTGGTGGACTTCGGGAGCTACTAGGCGACGGACTGTCCTAGAGCGGTGCTTCATCTAGGTGTGACCCAAGAGTGGGTGGATGAAGGTCGATTGCCAAAGAAGCGAACAAAATCGAAGGTGGAGGAGACCCTGCGATGTATTGGCAGAGGCCACACATGGAGGGTTCACAATTCGAGTTTATTCCACAAGGATCAGAATGCAATGGAGATGTCACCAGGAGGCGACATGGTGCAGCGGATCGTGGTGGAACAGTTCGTGGCAATGCGATTCACACGACATAGTCCCGGGAGGGACTAGGTCATATGGAGGTATGATCGGGAGCTACTGGGAGCTCCACTTCGGTGAACAACACGACGACAAGAAGGGCTATGGATTCAAGGAGTAAAGGCCATGGTACCGCAGAGGCGGGTCTTCCATGCGTGCATCGAATTTTGCATCGGATGAAAACCTTGGTCATCAGCATATGGGGGCTGGGTTCCACCAAGGGAAAAGTTCGAATGCAAGTACCAGTGAGTTCCATGGGAGGAACTTGATTGTTAGGATCGAAGCAGTTGGAGAGTTGGACTGCTCCAGAGCTCATATTCGCTTAAGGGAGCCCAGCAAGTCAGAGGACAAGGCCGAGTAAGCGAACGTTGCTACCAAGGAAGCTAAGGAGAACAGAATCGGTGCAAACCCTACAACGTGATGGCAGAGGCCATACATGGGAGTTGCAGTCTATCTTTCCATCGACCAAACGGACTGCTTGGAGAACACAAAGGTGCTGAAGCAGGGGGTCGAAAGGGGCGAGGAAGCGACGACAAGTCCAGAGGGACTTAGCTACCCAAAATCAAGCATCAGTTAGAATGGAGGTGGACTCAGAGGAGTGCCACGGAGACATATCTACTGATCGTGAAGAAAAGGGATGCAGATGCGAGGCGACGGATAGTAGGGCCATGTGCATGGCAGTACCATGGTACCGCAGAGGCGGGACTTCCGTGAAAGTCATTGATCCCTTGCTCTCATGGAGGGAGAGCGCTTGGTCATGAAAGGGGCCGAGGAGGTGGAGAATGCAGAGGCAATCTCCAAGTACCGAGACAAGGCTGAAGGGCAGAGGCCGAAGAACTTCGTAAGACCGGTGTCAATATGCTTCTCATCAAGATAGCCGAAAGTGAAGGACTTCGGGTCATGCAAGAGTGCATAACCAAGGAACGAAGCAAGCAGTACGCGGTGCTGTACCTTTGCTACTCAGTGGAGTAGGCGGCAGGGCTGATGGAGAAGACGGTACAATCCCAGAGGCGACCAAACCTATGAGAGAATTACTCCAAGTTGGGGTGAAAACTTCCTGCATTCTAGAAGTTCGATGGCATTGAGAAGGTGAATCACAGTAGCTAACTCAACGCAAGGAGTGCAAACACTTCAAGTGCTTCAGAAGTGTGAGCAAAGAGCAGGCGAAGGCTAGTAACCAGCTCGATGCATGGAGTACAACCTCGAGGAGGCGGGCGAAGTCAAGTAACCTTTGCCTTCTCAACTCTTAAGAGAATGGGCGAAACCAAGTACCCCAATCCTCTTATCTATCCAGTAGAGGAGCTCTGCACAAGTTCAAAGACCCTTCGAAGATAATGGAAGACAATAGTTGTCAAATCCTCACCAATGGTGATCAGTGCTACTGAGAGTAGATTATCCGCTTCATTTCCCAATGAAATGCCAATCGAAAGCGGAAGTGATGCGAACCTACTTGGATGTGACAACTAAGTGAAAGAAGAGTCAATGAGCAAATTTTATGGAGGAAGGACCCAAAACTTCAGAAGTTTGCGAGACGATGCTCGTTAAAGCTCCAACAAGCATCCACCCAGTTCAAGCAGCATGAGGAATTTGAGAGACTGGCGCAGTAAGGATGGTCTTTTCCTTCATTTGGGGGATCCGCAGGAATCAACAAGGATCAACACAACTCAGCCAACCCCACATCAGAGTCAGAGTCGTTGGTGAGTGGAAGCAGCATGGCGGATCAAAGGTTCGACTACTCAAAAACAGCAGTGGAGAGCAGCTAGGAGCCAAGAGGCACATTGTAGCTGGAGCAGAAGATTGAAGACTCAGCAAAGGCGAGGAGTTGCAGTGTCGACAAAGGCTTCAACGAGGACGTCGAAGGAATAAGTGGGGGAGAATGTCACGGACAAACTTCGAAACAGGGTGTTTGATGTAATGCTTATGTATGTCCGTGTCTTTTGGCATATTCATGCCTTGTACAGCATGTAAAGGGACGGCCGAAGGCTTAATAGTCCCATTTTAGTTGGGTTGGTGGCCTCTTTAGGCTTGTAAATAAAGGTTGTGTCATGTGGACACGTGCGAGAGATTTTCGGTCTGTAATGGACCATTTTACCCTTTGTTGTGCCATTGTTCAGAGCTTGTAAAAGTCTGTTTGTAATTTGCATTGTCTATGAAGTGTTTTTCGGAGATGTTTGCTTGTGGATCCCGATGGAGACTTTCTCTCTAACCTGTTCTCTCTTTTGGTGGCCCTAAGGGACAATGGGAGGCTTCGGGGAGGCTGACCTTTGCGGACGGACACGCAAGGGTGCCGCACGACTTAGGTAAAACCAGCTAAGTCCATGACAGCCCGGTACCGCTACAGTGCTACAGTATTATACTATAGCACTGCTACAGTATAAAAATAATATAAAATTATCGGTACACCACGGTGTACCGCTCGGTACGCCCTGATGTACTGCCCGGTACACCGGTACCGTACCGTACCGAGCCCGGGTCAAAATTTCGGTACGGTACGGTATGGCGGACCTTGCTTAAAACCTTATTTGTTTCTGGAGCTGGTGCTGGCTCTATTGCCCTTTGTTGATTTTATATTGTTTGCTGCATATGAGAGGCTGAAGTGTCCCTTTTTTTTGTGATGTATTTTGTTTATGTATTCATATATGCTGGTTGTTTTGGTCAAAGAAGCTATTAGTAAATTTGGCTTGCAATGTATACTGAATGAGACTATCCATATTATTGACTGGCCAGTTGGGTATCTTAATTTTTGAGTTATTGTTGTATTTCCCTTGATTCAGAATTGCTATTACGATTCTTATGATCTGCAGTAGTTGAAGCATACCTATATTGCCATACATTTAGGTTCCGGATGAAGCTGTTAGCAAATGCACATCATGTGGATCAGATTTTGGAGCTTTCAATCGCAGGGTGATGATTTTCATCTAATCAGTTTTCTTTTCAACGTTGTTTGATTTCACAATTTTCCTTGTGATATAGCATGACAATTCCATTCTTTACTTTCAGCATCATTGCAGGAATTGTGGCGATATTTTCTGCGATAAGTGCACAAAGGGTAGAATTGCTCTCACTGCAAAAGAAAATGCTCAGCAAGTCCGAGTTTGTGATAGATGCATGGTATATTGACTGGTTTATCCTTTGCTTTTAACATCATTGCACAAATTGGTTTTTGTACTTTTGATGATGTCATTTCTTACTCCTGAAAATTGATGCATGTAGAGATATGCAGTTTTAAGTTTGAACTATGTCAGGTTGGTCTTCACTGATAATGTATATTAAATAGTGATTCAAATTTAGATGTCTGCATAACCTTTTGGGTTCAGGAGAAAGTTTCGGTTGTTGATATTCTAGAAGTCGAGATGACGATGGTAAACGTTATTTAAGTCTTTTAAGATATTATATTTATAATGGGTCTTCTTCTAGCAGTAGTTATTTGTTGTTCCAATCTCATATAAAATCTGATGTATTGTTGCTAAAAGGAGATCTTTTTCTTTTCTGGAAGCTAGGTTTGCTAAAAACATTTTACCCCTCCACTGACTATTGACTGTCTTTTAAAGAGATTTGTGTTTTTATAAGGATCCTCCTTGAAACAATCTGCAGTGATAGACTCATATATTTTAGTATTATCATTAATCATAAGGGTGAAGAAAATGTTTTTTAAAGAAAATATGATTTGTTTAGCCAATTGAGTGAATTACTTTTCATTTTACATCTTTATTGAATTTCCATCCAGAGGATTTGCTGCAAGTCCATTAGCTAGATTTTGCACCTTAGGTTGATAAAACACTATTATCAGCCAGCGGTAGTCCCGCTTACATTATGGCGTAAATTGTCTTAGTTGATCAATATTCTATTCTTTGTTCATGGATGTTCTACAAAAGATCTAAATTAGTTCTTACATTATGGCTATTATTAGCTAGTGGTGGTACACTTATATTATAGCTTGAATTGTCTTACTTGAACATTCTTTTCTTTGTTCATGGATGTTCTACAAAAAATTTGAACTAGTTTGTCCTCGAGAAATTCACTGTCTTGTCTTGTGTTCAGGCCCTCTGAGTTCATATTACATGTAAGCATTAGAGTTGGCAAGTTGCTTTGCATGTGTGAACCTAGTGTTGACTTGTCACCAAATGCTGACATGTGGTCACCAATTTTGATTAACTTTCACTAGAGAAAGGTGTTGTCAATGGGGCCAGATTATGTACTTTGTGGTTGCTGAACTAATTTCCTGGGATAGTGAAAATTACTGAATTAACTTTTGTGAACTATGTAAATCTCACTGTCATGTGAAATTTAATTTTGTATAAAGCTGGAAAATTTCGTTTTTCTTCACATATAGTGTAGAAACTGTGGAAATAAAACAGCCCTAACATGCTTGATCTGCTAATTTAAGTACTGAAACTTAAAATTGCATGGTTGTTAGTATGAATGTTAGATATTCTGAGCATTAACTGAAAAACACGACTTGAGAAGTGATTTGCTTGATGTTACATGGGAGTCTCTCATGTTGAATAGGCAGAAGTTTCTCAAAGGTTAAGCAATGCAAAAGAAGCTGTCAGCAAACCTGCCGGTCTGCAAAGTCATGAAGATCTTGCGCGAAGGCTTCAGGTGCAGTCTTTTTTATTGCTATAGACCATCATGTTTAGACAGATGTCTCGCTGTGGTACTTTATATGGAGGGCATATTTTTCTCACTGTTGGAAAATGATCCAGTTAGCCAACTTTATTAGTTCTTGCATCTAACTTCTTTAACCCAGATATTATGATGAATAATTAAGGTTTTGGTCTTGATTTTTGCAACAGGAGGAATTGAACAAGAATCGTAAGTCGGGTACTTTACTGCTATATTGTAGAGCATTATACTACGTTTTCTGATATAACATGTACTACTATTGACTAATTTATGGTAGTACCTATTTCATAGGTTCAAATTCTGATGAGTCTTGGAAGCCAACGAGGGAAGTAGCATGTCCCATCTGCACAGTCCACCTTCAGGTCTATAATATCAGAACTTTTATTTTTCTGCAACATGATATGCTTTCTCCTTATCTCTTCATCTATTTTCCAAACTGGAATTTTGCTGATGTGTTGTTAGGACTGAATTCTACGATATTTACCTTGAGTTTCTGGTGCAAGTTCCTGCCTCAAGCTCCCAAACAATCAAATGTGGTGTCTGTCAACACCCTTTCTTGGTCAGTGCTGATTGATAGCTGATTTCGCCTTGCCATGCCATTGCAATTTCTATCCTCCTATAATTCTCTTTGACAAGCAGTAGCATCGCACATGCTCTCTGCGGTCACCTTGGTTGTAAACCCAAGTTGCCTGCATTTTTGTAAGTGAACTTTGGTAAGCATTCA